AATCATTTCAAATGATATCGGTTATATAAATGCCGAATCAATTATCTTTACTCGATTCAATAATAAATTTTGCGATGTATGATCAGTTTATACAGAAAATTATTAAAGGGAATTTGAAGTCATCAAAAGCTATTACAACATTTCAACCCTACGAGGAGAGGATGGGTGGCTCAATGATTGGAATCGGCAATTTAAAGATAGTAGAATTAACTTTAATACCGTTTTTTACACTAGAATTCATTTGCAACTAATAAAAACATAATCCGTGGTACAGACCACAATAATGAGGTTCTACAAATATAGCAAACTTCTCAATTTTGGAATGGATCATTTCATATTTTCATAATGTTACATAGTTTATTTGATCTATTTTCTTTAAAATTAACAAAGTAATAAAGTGTTTTGTCAACTATATTATATAAACCGAATATATTTGATGTATTTCAATTAAATCACCCGTTTAACCAACGTTAAATTTTTGTTAAAATAATTTGCATTTCTATTTAATATACTATTTGTAAATGGTATTGCTAAATACGCTATTTAAAGTTTTTCCCTAAACTCATTCATGGAAACTAATTAGCTTCACAGCAAAGAACGAAGCTCGTTTAACCACGTAGCTTATTTTGTCGGTCGCATTCGAGTTTTCTAATTACCACGAGGTCGTTAGCTTGTAAAATAGTGTAAAAATATGTTTGAATACATTTCTCTTTATGTGTAAGCAAAGTATTCAACCGCATTTTCGAGCGTAAATAAACATAAACAACATTTGTTTTCCGCAGGTCACCCGTTTGTCGAGAGAGAGAGAAAGCTAAAAGGCTTCGAGCTACAATCAGCCCATAGAAGCAACTCCTATTCAAAGATAAACGTACCCAAAGCTTTGGCTGCGAACACGAACGTATTGCACCGATACACATAGAACTAAAGTCATCCGAGAATGAGAACAAACGACTCCGGGGAGTATCAAATGCTACCCCGTATTTCACAGCGTCTGCGATTGTTACAAACGACTGAAGACGGAAAAATACAAGAAACGAACGACATTAAGGAATAACACTAAAATAAAAAAAAATAAAAAACAAGAAAAGAACCCCGCACTATGCAGTCGGCGCAGAATTTGTTCTTCACGTCGTTCGCGATGCTTCTAACAACGATTTATCCGAATTGCAACGGAGGCAATGTGACATCAAATAGCATAACCGCGCAGTTTAATTGCACTCGCCTAACCAATGTGTCTGTGATCTGCGAAGATGTCGATGTCAATGTTCTAGACTTTCGAGACTACGCGAACGTCCGCAGTCTTGTCGTTCGTAACAGCAGCGTACAGGAGCTATCATTCTTGCAAAGTAAAATATTCGCAGAGTTACGAGAGTTAGATCTATCGCAAAACTCGATCGAAGACTTGGAACACGACGCTTTCTTGGACGTGCCAAATGTCACGTATTTAAACTTGTCCAGAAATTCCTTGGCTTACATCTACCCGTCGTGTTTGACGCATCTGTCAGCATTAGCAGTTCTCGATTTGACGCATAACAAATTACTCGGACCGTCTGCGGGAGCTTTTCAAGCTCTGCCAGCGCTGGCCAAGTTATATCTGAGTCATAATTCCAAGCTGGGAGCAGGACTGAACGCTATCGTAGCTATTTCAAGGAGACTTACGGAATTGAGAATGATGGCAGCAGGTTTGCACCACGTACCAGAAATTTTAACAAGATCCGTAATGCTGCTTGATCTTGCTGGCAATCAATTACAGGTTAGTTATCTATTCATAATTTTGCATGCACAAAAACATATTATACATATATAGTATAATATGTTCATATTAGTATATCTTTAGAAAACAATAGCAGCCAATTTGTAGAGAAAAACAAATAAATATTAAGAAATATTCATTTTGTACATTTTTACCTTCAATGTGTTTAAAAAAGTTGAAATAAGAAACACCACAAACAAGAAATTTATTTCCAATTTTAAAATCTTGAATTTGAAACGATAAAGATAAAACATATTTAAAAGCTTAATTTGCTTCATTTAAAGTTTATCAATTTAATAAAAATTAAAATCAATCAATTTCACAAAAAAATATCGAAAAAAATGTAAAAAATAGTTTACTATACTAAAAAATAGAAATTGAAAGTTTTATTTAATGAACTATTCCATTTTTAATAACATTAAATGAATACAAAGAAATGCTGTTGTATTTCAGGAAATATTAGACGGTGATTTTGACAGCTACCCTTATTTGCGCCAGCTAGATCTTTCTAATAATCAAATCAGCTACATCCAAGATGATGCTTTAGGTAGGTTAGAAGCTTTGGAAGAACTAAACCTATCTATGAATCATCTAATTGAGATTCCTTCAATTTTACCGAGCGAATTGAGAATTTTAAACATAAGTACAAATTTTGTAAGCACTGTAAATTCTATAGAACTTTTAGTTTTAACGGAATTAGAGGTTCTAGACTTGTCATATAATGAATTGCGCGCCATGCCAAGCTTAACATTACCAGAACTAAAAATATTACGAATAGAAGGTAATGGTTTGCTAACATTGGGAGATAATTTTCTATTGAATTTTCCTCGCCTGACTCAATTGCACGCTGCAGGAAACAATTTAACATGCGAGGAATCAAACTGGTTGGCAATAAAAATAATCCTGACGGGTGTCAACTTAAGAAAAGGCTGCTGGAATTTGACGACTATAGAAACTGGCACTACAGAATCTCAAGAAACTACAACTCATATTCATGCGACATCTAGTAAAATTATAAATATAAATCCGAAGAAAAAACCAGCACAAGAAAACACGAGCTCTAATTTTAAGAAGCCTATAGTTTATAACATTAGTAATGTATATAAATTGAAGATTTTTCGTACAATCGCAAGCAGTTCCGCCAACGACAGTTATGTGCAAAATAAAAACCTTAATAATTCAGAAATAATCAGAATACGGCCGACGGTGCCTACACGAAAAATAAAAACTGAATCTCATTATACTTCCAAACCATACCAAGTTATCAAAGTATTTAGGGTAAATAAGCCTAGAAGGCAAATTCCTATCAATACTACCGACAGAATATCAAATTTGACAAAACCAGTGCCTCAAAAGCGGGTGGCAGAAACGAAGGGACGACCAATTGTTAAAACATCTGCTTTAGTAGAACATCCTCCTGAAAAAGGTTTTGCGGGTCACCCAGGTTTATTGGCAGTGCTAGGCATTGTGGTGTTTTTAATAGTAACAGCAACGATAGTAAAACTATTCAGAGATCGTAGACCAACGATGTCTGATAAAAGATATAAGTGCCAAAATGATTTACTTCAAATGGACCTTCTCAGAAGAAATGATCAAGATATCGATTTGTGGTGACAAAAATATTAATTTGTGCGCGATAATCGTTATTGACCTGACTGTTGTAAACACAACGCATGTGCAAATCCAAGAAATAATAGCAAATATTTTTACAATCAAAAATTTTAAAATATATAGGTATATCATATTGTAGATATTTAAATAGAGTTTTTTTATAATACTTTTTTGCTCTCATTAACAAATTGTACATTACTTGTAACTATAATGATAAATGCCAGATGTAAGTGTCAAATATGCGACAATATTAAATAAGATTTCTATGTTAATATGTAAGTTGTATTTGTAGAAAAAACTGCATGAAATAAATATAAGTTACATTTAGTTGAAATTCTTTCAATTCAAACTAATCGTAATATTAATACAAAAAACTTACTTTTATTTTTCTGGCCATCACATGAATAAAATAGAATTCATGAATTGCCGCGAACGCCAAGTTCACTAACAAAAAGTTCTCCGAGTTATGTCTTTTATTTCTGTGTTCCAAAAATATGCGTTTACTGCAACAGTTTAGTTATCTGGTTTGTTTAATTATAATTCTTTTGTATTTGCATCAAGTCAGAGAATTGCATTTTTTGTTCCCTGTGCCGGCACAATATATTGTAAAATGATTTCGTAGTAAAACTAAAATGCTTGACTTGCAATAGAATTACTGCTCTGGTAGTATTTCCGCTTCCTTAACAGACATTGTTCCGCAAGTTAAAGATAATTAAATCTTTTTTCCAAGGGCGTTTTGTTTTGCATAATGTCTAGTAATTTATTTTACACTTTGAAAAGTGTCTAGCAAGTTAAGTAAAATAAATGTGAGTGATCATGAAATATCAAAAAAAAAAAAAATTATTAATTGAAGACAGAATTTGGATGCCATAGACAAATAGACATGTGGAAAACAACCCAGACGACGGTGTTTGATAAAAATAACAAAGCCAAGCAATAACAAAAATAAGTAGTTAATTTAAAAGTATGAAGTTTAATGTGCTTCAATCATTTGAATAACGTTAGCGTGTTACAAATCACACTCAATTTGGGAATTCATATCTATCGTTTTTTATAATACAATTTGTATATAAAAAGATTTGGCATTTCAGGTGGCGTTTTACATATTTCATGACTTATTTTCAATTTATAACAAATAATTTCTTCCCTATGAAAGAATGGGCAAACACTGATTTTATAAACCTACATCTCAAAATATAAAACATGTATATATGTGATATTTTTTGTCAGCGGTTGGTCTGCGACCAAATTATTCCTGGCAGTATTTTCGTACTTATTGATGCGTAATTGGATGTTTACTTTGCTTAAAAAGCATTCAAACCCTATTTGCTTATTTTATGGCCGTTTCGATGTTACGGTTCTTCGTTTTATACGAGAATATCACAAAAATGTCGGCTGAGTAAATATTTTTTCTGCTCTTTCGGATATAAATAATATCACATTAAACCCAAAGTAAATTTTATTTAAAATGAGGAGCTCTGAAATTTACTTGAGTTGATGCTAGTAAATATAAATGTGGTAATTTGAACTTTTAAATCAATGAAAAGCATTCAGTAAATAGCTTAACCCAAAATATGTAGCAATCATTAAAATTAATTCAAAGCAAAATATTGTTAAAATAAACATGCGGACTTACCTTTATTTCCAATATCTGCAACAAAGATGTCATACAGAATCATTTGCTCTTCTTCGGGCTGCACATTCATAGCTCCAAAGTAATCATGTTCAGGCCAAACCTCTCTAAAAAAAAGATAAATATTAGATCTGTGACCTCTGTTTATTTTTTTTTTTGTTATTACCTGGCAGCTCTCAAGAGACCAATGGCTTGTTCAAAATTTTCTTGTTTAAGTAAGTTTTGAATACGCTTCACACAATCTTCCCTGGAAATGTATTATATTTTTAAAAATTTTGTTGATAGAATTTTTATATAATTGAGATAAAAGTTTCATATAATTCTCTTACATAATACACTTTAACTATGTAAACGTAAAGGATCTTCAAACGATTTTAATAAATTGTACTTTAGTACAATTAGCAAAAAAAAATTTTTTTTTCAAGGTTCGTTCAGAATATTTCAAATATACAAGTATATATTTATTTGGCATGCAAGGTGGTTTTAATTTGATTTTTACCCGCACATTAGAAAAACTAGAAAACGATAGAAAAGCATATCAAACACTAAACAACACTTCCCTTTAAAAGAAACAGAATTGTTGACGCGAATCAAGCAGTTAAGTATTTTTTTATAGATAAATTATGGTAAAAAGTTATTTTAAATAGATTGTGGTTAACTTACTTCTGATCATCAATGGGAACCTCACTCGTAACGTCGAATGGAATCATATCAGTGGGTATTTGTTCGCCGTCAGAAGTAAGCACGGCTGTCACTTGTTGTGCGATTTCCAACCAACGATCTTCAGGCGAAACTTTTGGCACTTCCTGGCTGGGAACGGATTCTATCGGGCAAGGCAAAATACGAAAAGGTAAGGATAATGAAGTTATAATTGTATATAATATTAGTGTAAATAGTAAATCTATAAAATTATTGTTGTCCATAAAAGAAGTATTTTTACGCTATTGTTACTTTGAGCTAGATGATGCGGTGAATGTCCAAAGCGTCAGATGTTAAGAGCTTCAGCAGTATTCATCAAAAATGGCAAAACATTGAATTGAGACGCGACTTATGAAATAATGTGCTATATTTTTTCAATTTCTTATTTTTAAATATCATTCATAAAACAAAAATATATTCTATTTGTACTTGATATTTGTATAAAATATTCAAACAACCATATATTATATGTTGTTATAAATTATAAAATATAAATTATAACATTGAACTCACTATCCAAGATGAGTATAAATAAAAATACGAAACGAAAAATAGATTATAAATATATTCAAAAAAATAATTTCAACTCACTTTTACTGCTACTTTTCTTCTTTTGCTTCTTTTTTTGTTGAATCATAACTGTCCCGCGCATGCCTTGAGCTTTGCAATACTTCTCCAGCATTCGCGAAAATATGTGAGCAGTTTCAATCAAATCTTTCAAGTACGATCTGAACATTAGCATATATATATAAATATATATATATATATATATATATATATAAGTTATTTTTCATGTTAATTATAATATTGTCAACCAACCGTGAATTTTTAGATTCATCGAAATGCATGAGTAAATGTATTACTGTTTCACGATATTCCATTACATAAAATACATTGCTTTGTAAAGATAACGCTAATGCTTTTGCTTCATCCGAAGGCAACTTCACTAACGCTTGAATGCTCATAAGAAACTCTCTATAAGCCTGAAAATAATTAGTTTCATTGGTAATGTCTACATTATTTCAACAAAGTGATTTTCGGAAAATTCAGAAAAAAGTATTAGAATCTACTAGTGTGATTCAGCTTTTGAACGATATGATAATTTTAATGCAAAGATACATCATAAACTTACCTGCAAAGCTAAATGAAGTCTACGACTCCACAATCTCATATTTTTCTTATCGGTAACTGCCATTTCCATATACTTATCGGAGCAACTCAAAACCCAGTGAAACCATGTTGTGCTTAACGTTTCGCTAAAACAGTTCTCAATTTTAAACTATTCTATATCATGTATTATAATAACTGTTTTGCTTTAAGTTAATTACCTGATATAGTCTAATCGAAAACCATTCAATCTGTTGAATTCCATAAAGAATCGAACAGCCCATAGCAAATATGATTCATCAGGAGTGCTCGAAGAACTTGTAACAATGCGTCTAACATCTCTCATTACTGTATTATAAGAAGAAGCCAAAAATTCCAAGCAAAATTCACGTAAAAATAATCTGTAAAAAATATAAACTTTGTCAAAATGGAATCAAGAAATATTTTTAAAATAATCCTAATTAGAATTGTAACTGGCAGATATATAAATTATTGAAATTAGAGCAGAATATATAACTATTCTAATAAAAATAATCTAATTTTAAAAGTATTCTTTTAAAAAACGGAATAAAGACAAAGTAAAGATACCAAATACACTCAATTCCCATTACAAGATTCACCTTTTACAAGCAACACAAACATTTACCAATTTATCAACATTCAAGTTATTTATTTTAAAATGTTTTGAGGTTTTTCTTACTGACCTGACCGAAAACGCTGAACGTCTTTCGCCAGAACTAGTCTCAATAACTATCTTATTTTTCGGTTTTTTAACTCGATTTTTTAGTTTATTCAAATTTAATTCTTCAGGTCCAGCTACCACTTTATGACATATCATATCATTATCAGAAATTGATTTTATATTTTGGAATACAAAGGTGCCTCCAAAACGTGAGTGTCGTCCTGACGGCGGCATACGAGTTGCGCCCACAGCTATGCAAAAATTATATACATATATTTACATTATTACGGAAATATCCAAGTAATATTACTATAATAATAAGAAATTCCAAATTCTTATTTTTGGTTAAAAATTGGAAACTATTTTTGGAGCATATATTCTTTAAATAATATTTCATATATTTTTTAAATAATATTTAAAATAATTTCAATTATTTTTTTCAAAAAACATTTTCGAATATACAAATAATTATAAATATTACCAATTGTGGTGATAAATGTTATTAAAATTTGATATATTCTTACATTTATTAATCTTGGCTTGTTCCCGTTTTCTTGCAGCAACTAATTCCTGTTCATCACGCTCTTTTTCAGAAGTGCTTCTTTGGAGCTCAGAATTAGCTAATATTTCTACATTCTAGAAAATAAGCATATTTTATTACAAGTTAGCATCAACGTTTAAATTGTTTACAATAAATTTTACCTGTTCTCTGTACATAAGAGAAATTATTTCTATAGCATGTAGATGATACTGATTTTCTTGTTGAGTATTTGTAATGTACAAAACAATATCTAGTAATCCAGATTGATGTAACCCCCATAGCACCTGGAAAAAATTCAGTTACAAATGAAGAATATTGACAAAAAGTTTTTAAGAATCTTTAAGATATATGATAAGCACAAAAAACAACAATCTATTTATAAATACTAAACTTTAAAATTAAATCGTATTTTTACACATGCTACTGATCACTCACATTTATACTATTCATAACATAACAAATCGTTAAGTACATGCATGTGCACATGTGTCTTGTATATAAAATTTCATTGTTTATATTTTATTTTTGATATTGATATTCCTTACTTGATCATGTAAACTTGCATCATTATCAGCTCTTCTTTCAGCATCTGGACTAGCAGGTACTTGTAAGATGTTTCTTGCTAATACAAGTATTCTTTCAATTACTAATCCATGATCTTCGCTACGTTCAGCCCAATCCTATAAAAATTAAGTTTTCCAGTATAATATAAACTTAAAAGTTGAATATCAAATTTATTTTATTATTACATACAATATCTAAAGCTTCTTGCAATCTTGTACTTAAAACAATCCATACTTCCTCTAGAACAAATGCAGCTTTATAACCTTGTAAATGTTCTATAATTTCCAAGTAAATTTTTCTTCCAGGACCATCTGTTGGCAGTTGCTCACGATACAGGAGCAAAGCGGGATTAGTTAAATTCACAAGTAACCTAAAAAAAATAATATACTATATTAATATTACAATGTAACATACTCTATTAATTTTACTGAAATCTACTAAATAAATCAGTAACAAAATAGTTTTGTACTTTATTTAAATTATAAAAATTTTCATTTAGGTCTAATTATTTATAAAAGCAATACAAAATTTGAAATATCGTAAGAGCAACAATCAATAGATAAAATATGAAAGGGAATATTTCAGATAAATAGGTTTAAAACATTGACTGCCAACTATATTATTCAATTCCCTCTCGGTTGGCATTATGCATTGTTTGCCTTTATTTATGTTATAAATAATCTACAAATAAAATATACAAAATATATGCAAACAAGATTTACCAAAATTTAATTAAATTTTTTTGTATATTAGAAATACGCAAATATTAGATAAAGTTAATAAGATTAAGGTATATAAAAATAACATATTTAGTTTACAAGCAAATGCAGTCAAGCACAATCCGCAATGGATTGTAGTCGTTGAAAGGCAATCTATTTATATCAGTGCTCTAAAAAATGCACATTAGTTTCATTAAGTGATCACAGAGCAATAATCAAATTTTGAGTTTGAATTCTTTGAGTTTGCTATTTTAATATATCTCTAATTAAATTTTATTTCGTGCCTTCTACTCTTGAAATTTGTATTAATGCATGAAATTATTATGTTAATTATATGAAATAGTTCTTGATTTAAATATATATATATATATATATATATATTGTGGCGATATCAAGCAGGCTGGTTTTGATAGGTAAAAAACAATCGGACATGTCATGTATATTTTTGATATCGAAATATTTTTATAGTTAATAAATTTATATTTTTTTATTATGCTGGGAGTTTCTAATTTAATATATTGTCATAATCTTTACAACTCCCACATTGGTGACTCACGACGATGGAGATGAAGATAAAGGAGTTTTATTTTTCGAAGATTTAAGAAAAATTGATTTTGACGCAGCACCATAATCACTGGTCTTCAGTGACGACCTATAAGGTATGTCCAGTCCAATCCATCATAGTTAACGCACTTACTATCTGGATCAGACTTCCGAGGTTACTCATTTGGTATACCCAGACCTCAGTGTTTATTGCTGACAGAAAAAATAATTTGGAGCCTGAACTTTTCATTGGAATGCAATTCAACCTCTCTTTCTCTGTTAACTCAACAAATCGTCTTATAATGCTACCTCCCATTATCGGTGACAACGACGAATTAAAACAAAATTTGACATAATTTATTGGATTCCACAATTCTGGACTCTTATGTCAAAGAAACCAATGATCCTGATTTGGATAAAGAGCCAACTTCTTTCTCTGATCGGAACTCATCAGATACGAATGCAACGCTTGCAGAAATGGAAACTGTACCCATAAATTATGCATTCTAAACATTAAGTTATTCTGATATAACTAATACCCATTAGATCGAGAACATTATGCAGAATATGGAGTTGATGGCAGGTCAAATCACCACATACGGTGGATCTGCTGACGAAACATGGAAATTTGTAATTGACCAGTATTACAACACTGGTCTGCTATAATCTGCTTTCCCACCACATTTTTATAACGTGTTTCCCTGTATTTTTTTTTAAACTGTGAGATCAACACTGGGCAGGGAGTGTGTGGCGATATCAAGCAGGCTGGTTTTGATAGGTAAAAAACAATCGGACATGTCATGTATATTTTTGATATCGAAATATTTTTATAGTTAATAAATTTATATTTTTTTATTATGCTGGGAGTTTCTAATTTAATATATTGTCATAATCTTTACAACTCCCACAATATATATATATATATATATACAATCTGATTTGCATTTGTTCAAATACATATCAGATCATTTTCGAAGAAAGAAATATGTAAAGATTCTCTATAATTTACAATACCAAATAACAAAGACAATCTTAATAAACTATTATACCTCAAAAGCACATCTGATAATTCATTTTCTTTAGAATAGGTGACTAGCATAGGCAACAAGTCAGTTCGAAGAACCTTAGCTCGCCCCAAATGTCTTCGATAATCATGAGTTTCACTGTCTCGCCTTAATATCCAAATCAAATGCTGTTTGCGTAAATGAAAAATATATAATTTTGTGATGCAAAGAACTAAATGACAATATTTATAAGAATTCACCTTCAAATTTTGCAAAGCATCGGGTTCTGCATAATACCTATCCGGCTCATGATAACCTAAATTAGCACAAGTAGCATCTAAATCTGTTAATAGAGTAGCCATCGAATGTCTCTTAATTAAAGCTTATTTTTAAAAATGTTTCACGTAAAACACTCACTAAAATACTAATTTATGCAATAAAAACAATTTTAAAACAAACCGACATAACCTAAAATTTTAAAACGCAACAGGTAAGACGCACATTTATTTGACAACTGAATGGCCATGCGAAAATGGCGGTAAAAAAAATAATACAATGGAAGACCCGTTGTTATAATTAGGGTAAAAATATGTTCTTCGTCGAAATATAGATGTCGCTTTCGAGAATGTCATTCAATTCATCTAAATATATAAAATAAAATGCAAATTTAATTTATTTTATCCTATATATTCTTTGGTGTTCAATATCATAAAATTGCGATTCAAAATATTCTGTATAAATTTTTTTTAACAATTTGGTCAACCGTATTCTTTACAACAAAAGAAAACTGAACGCGTTTTCGATTTTGATCATTATTATTGAACTGACGATTTTGATCATTATTATTAGGAATAACATTTCATATATATATTTATAAAAAACCATTGGTACTCCTATCACGATATACCCTAAGTTATCACCAACTTTATAGGATTTTAAATTATTACCAAAATGATTAACTTTTTATTTAAGAAATATTTTCCTTGAAATCTTATCTCCTTTCTTGCTTGACGATAAAATATATATGAAAATTTCACTTTTGATAAGAACAAAACAATATAATATAACATAAATTACTCTAACTTGATGGTTCTCAAAGACTTCGGGGGTCCATGACAACTTCAAGGGTCCCTGTTCAGTTAAAACAAAAAACCGGGGTAATCTGTTAACTTATATTGTACCAATTACATTAAAAAGTTATATTATACAAATTTTACGAATGGACCTACAAACTAACAAAGATTTTTCTTTTTTATAAAAATTTGTTTGACTCAATATGTTTAAACTTGAGACACTATATGCTAGCTCTTAAAAGGCTTATACTTGGCAAGATTCTTTGCGCTTTTTGAGACTATTATGTTTGGGAAATGTAAAATCCTTACAAAATTGCTTCCAAATACTAATAAAAATACATTTACTCATCGCTTTTTATATTTTTTTATTATTATTTTGAATTCAAGTAACAAATGTATAAGTCAAACATATGTTTTTATTTTAAATGTTTAGTACTAACTTTAGTAGTTTTTTTTATTGACCTTGTAATCTGATACACTGGCCAGATTTAGTAGGTAGAATTAAATAAAAATACCGTATCGGGTAAATAGGGGCTTCTTGGTAAAGCCCAAAGAGCCTACGATACAAAAATGCTATGCTCTAAATGCATTCACTCAAATCCATGTTTTAATATTTTAAGCTAATTCATTCGTATTTATTGAAAACACAGTAAATATAGAAGGGAGCCTTCCATAAACAACGATTGTATTGCCAAAGCAGATAATGCTAAAGTTTCCGAGGGGTAGCTTATATCTTTTCTATATTTCTTTATCATGCCATTTCGAATAAATACAGTCACAGTCACCCTAAAATAAAAGTTCATTTTTTAGCCCGCGGCAAAGTTTGAATCTGAACAACCTATTTCCATTGCAAACTAAATACGTATATTAAAAAGGAACATTGTATCTGAAATGGAATTGATATACATTTTGTCTTATTCAATAATAAAACGATTCTTATTCAATATAAACGAAACCACTTTTTTATTCAATTTTACCACTTTTTTCATTTTTTAAATTAAATTTATTTTGAGTAATATCAATTTAGATTTTGACTTTAAAATTCAGGAAAACATAGGCAAACTAGCATACTCTGGCATAATTATTTGTCCAATATATATGTTTTGTTTTCTATCTGTTCTGTGTTAGTTAAGAATTTGCAACACTTTTTAATTTGTATCATATTTTATTATCTAAACTTCTATCGATATTTTAATACATTATTAATATAATTTGTTGATAAACATAGTTAAATTCATAGTTTTTATAATCAGCACATTTCTTCTCTCTATGTGAATAAATACTACCCTTAAATTTATTTAAATATAATATTTTTTTCATCTATGTATCTACTTGCTGCTATGGAAAATGTAATTGCAACTATAATAGTCTATATTTGAATAAGCTTTAAATTTCAACAATCACAATACTATTGCAAATGTCATTAATTCAATCTGCTATTACTTTCAACACTATTGAGAAAAATAGTAATATTAAACATAACTGTACATTGACTAAAATTTTCTCAAAAATACATTAATAACCAGCTATATTTTGTTATGGATACATATAATAATTTCATAATCTAATTTATGTTACTTTTCTATTCTATTGAATTAAAATCATTTGTTATATTTTCTCACAAATATTTTATTTGTTTTAATAAATTAACGATTAACAATAATTATCAAATATATGTTTATTAATTAATAAACAGCATTCAAATTACATATTGTATGATCTATTTTGCTATATTTAACAACAAAAAAATACATTTAATAAAAGGAATAATAATAAAAATAATAATAATAATGACAGTAATAATAATAATAAGAAGAAAAATGATGAGAATGATAATAATAATAATAATAAAAATAATATTAAAATAATAAGTAAAGAAAAAGTATAAGGATCACTCCATTGAGTGACCACTTAAAGAAAATAAGTCTACTCAAGTAGAGTAACACCCAACAACATATATGTATGGGCCAGTTTATATAATGACTTTACTACATCATAACGCTATAGTAATGTAAAATTTAATAAATTCAGAAATATACTAATTTGTAATATATATTTTCAATACTCATTCAGTATCCTTATTATATCATATATCGTTTTTCTATTAATGCATTTAGAATATATTTGAATATAGCATTTGTTAAAAACAGCGGAGATAGAATTTATCACTAAAATAAAATTTTTGCTGTATATTATTCGAAGCAATTTCCTTTCGGGAAATTGTGCTCGTTGACGTGTTATTTTTTAATATACATCACGTTGTTGACATTGGGTGACGCGTGTAGTGCGTACTGGAGCAAAAATAATATATCGACACATCTCCTAACTGGTAAAATATCGAATGCACTCATTTACTATTTATTGAACTAAAAACCTCTTTTTTCAATAAATATTAAGCAAGTTTTTATTTAGATCAACTAGTTGGTCAAAATTCATAATAATAAAAAAAATCAAAATTTTAGTGCACGTATAATTTTAGTTTTAGTGAGAGTTTTCATTTAAAAAAAGTGTTTTAAAGTTCCTGGAGAACAAGGGGTTTCCTAATTTATAATATATATACAGTTTATCTATCAGGAATCATTCTGCTCATGTGGTGGCTTTGCTTTGCTCGCCGCCCTGTCATTCCTCTGGCGAGCATATCGCGACCAATTTGATATCATTTCCGTAAATTAACTGTCCGTAAATTCTGGGTGAACAACTTTCAGAACACCTATATAATAATAACAATAATATTAGGAATTAATCAAATTCAAACCAGTATATAAATATGAATGCTCACTTCTTAATAATGTAATTATATGCGTTTCGTGCAATGGAATATTGCCCTTATGCTCATACTAGGAGCATCTCATTGCCAAATTATTCCCACCAATCCTGGCAATAAATGTTTTCTAAAGCAATCATGAATAAAAACATGAGTACATACATACATATCACACACACAGAAATCATATATGTATATTATATATATATATATATATATATGTGTGTGTGTGTGTGTGTGTGTGTGTGTGTGTGTATTATTAATATATTTGCAGTAGAACTTACATATTCTGAACAAAATTCTTCACTATCTTTTAACATCTTCTCCAATGAATGTAGGTCCTCTACACCAGAGAGAGAAAGAATTAGATCAAAAGTGTTTGTTTTTGGTAAGTCCACCAAATCAGATTGTTTTTGTTTGTTCAAATCGTGCATATTTTATTCATGCTAGCCATTTTGCAATCAATACCTGACAAGGCAACGCTAAGGACAGCTGTAACAGAAATGGATGTTAGGAAAACATCATAAACAATGAGTCACATTTTACTTACATTCGATATTCATAATACGCTCATTGAGCAACTGTACTTCTTTAAAAAAAAGGCAATTGCAAGCTTCCTGTCCTCTGCTTGGAAGAGCTTCCACTCCATGCATTGGAACAGCTTCCACTTCATGCATTGGAACAGATTTTACTCCATGGGCTGGAGCTTCAGCCAATCCATGCGTTGGAGCTTCAGCCACTCCATACGTAGGAGCTTCAGCCACCCCATGCGTTGGAGCTTCAGCCAGACATCCGCTCGTAGTAGCTGCATTAAGAACAAATTTGTTTAAAAATATAAAACAAATATTTTATACGATCATGATTTTTTTTATAAATTTACCTCTTACGTTGAGGCCGGAATTGGACCTCAATAACTTCCAGTCAACGAGGTCAGGAACACCTGCTACAGCTGCACCTGTACATTATAATAATATAAAAATATTGATCTATTTTGAAACTGTAGTAATTTATTACCTTCACTAACAGAGGTGTCGCTCTCTGATTCAGATACAACTGCAGCCTTTCTTTTTCTATAGCCCTTGCCTAATTCCTCTTGCGAGTCATATATGTGTCTAGAACAAATATCGAAGTTAAGATAGTTTCCAACACTTCAATAATTCATATTTAAAAGTTATTTCTCACCATAAAACCCGACAAAAGTTTTTTATTTAACCCACTCTGACTTGTTCACTGAAGTTCAAATAATATGTAGAATGTATTTGTCCAGATAATGATTATTTTCTCTTATTATAAAATCACCAAAATGTGAAAAACACTATTTTGAAAGTGCAATTTGATCCATGTGCGAACAACTTAATTCTGTATTTTGATATGAACAGATTCTATTTTATAACAATGGTTCATAAAATGTTCCATAATTTAATAGGTATGATTAAAATGATTCATATATGGAACATAAAATCAATGTGTTCATTAGAATGCAAACTACAATAGAATTTGAGACAAAAATTGTAAAAAAAATTAACTATATAATATAAACAAAACTTCATTATTATCGCAAATAATGTCATTAACTAAGCTTTACTT